GAAGATCCAGAATGTGAATCAACACAAGTGAAAGGAGTTGTGGTTTCCACCTCTCTCATGGATCGAGGGTAGGGTAGGATGAGTTCAGATTTGGTTTCCCTTTTGTCCCTTCAGATGAAGGAAAAGGGAGCAATCATCTGGGCCTCATGCCCCTCTAATCCCTGATCCGGGTCAGAATCCTTATAACAGAAGGATGATGCCCGCGCAGTCCCCACACTGGGTAGGAAGGAAGTAGTCTCAACTGAAGCTGCTGCAGCTGCAGATGCAGGTGCAACACTGGAGGGAACTGCTGTCTCCAGGTTCAACTTCAGTTTTTTGACTGAGTTGGGCTAGGCATGTAGGGACAGTCTTTCAAGAAGTGTTGTCCCTCACACCTCAAGCAGACACCTCTCTCCTTCCTCTTCCTCCACACTCCCTCCTGGATCTTCAGATCATGCCATGGGAGAGTGTTGGGGTTCAGAGGGTCTGCTGGAAAGTGGACGTCACGTGGCAGGTTAGGGCGCCGGGCAGGGGTTGAAGAGCGACGTCCCTGGCTCTTCCCCTTGCTGCTGGAGGCTGTTGGAGGTTGACCCGGCCTTTTGGAAAGCCCTCAGCGCAGCCTGCAGCTGCTGAACAACTGCTGCAACATCCGGGACAGCAGCTGAAACAGTCCCAGCAGGCGGTGTACCAGGCTGGGATCCTGTCTCAGAAGCGGACCCAGAACCCGCATATGCAAAGGCCGCCTTTCCCTTTCTACCACCGCGAGGGAAGGCGCCTCTCCTCCTGTCACTGGAGGGGGCCTAAACATGAAGCTTAGCTTCCATGTCTAGTGCTGCGCGTCCAAAAGATCTCCAGTCTTTGTGACCGGCGCTGTACAATGCAACACAAAACTTTTCAGGCACAGCCCTGCAAAAGTTAGTTAACAGATCATTTGCAGACATAACCAGTCCAGGGGTGGAAGTTAGCTGTTCAAACTCAGCAAATAAGGCCTGCAGACTGCCGCTGTAACGCTGCTGGCCCAGGCGTACTAGCAGCTTTGCGGACTCTCTCTTTGTCTGCAAACCTATCTTCCAGGGCCTGCAAAAGTTTGTCAGCCCCCAGTGCCAGGGCCCAGTCCTCCAAGGTCTGACTCTGGGCGCATGCTGTAGAGGTACCCCATTTTTGGGCAGGCCCCTCCAGCAGCCCCACAACAGTAGCCACCTTTTGCTGCTCTAGGCACTGGAACCCCTTCAGATAGGCCCGGGTACTAGCTGCCCAGTCCCCCACATCAATCTTGGGGTCATCCCCCTTGAATTTGCTGGGGGCAGGGATCTTGGGACCTCTGTGGTCCCCAGCAACAACAGCAGCAAAGGTGGGAGGAGGTGTGGCTTTGGCCTGGGAGGAGACAGAGGGAGATGATTTGTGGGAAGAACGAGGAGACCTAGGAGGTGGAGGTAGAGAAGGGGGCTGAGAAGGCTTCTTGGGCTTCAGAGAGGGGACCACAGGGACCAGGGGACTGATGACGTTGGCTGCTGTTAGCTGAGCAGTCAGATTCTGGATAGCATCCAGGATCTTAGACTGCTGAGTTCCCAGATCAGCCACTCTAGTCTCCAGCCGCTGGATCCTCTCATCCCAGTTTGTGAAGTGGCTGGCTGTAAGTTTGTCCTGCAAAAGTACCAGCTCAGCCAGATCCCTGGTACACTGGGCCACTCTAGCATCCGCAAAAGTCTTATGAGCCTGCTGCAGCAGATGCTCTTTTCTGGAAGCATCTGTTGCAGCTTCCAGCTCTGCAGCCTCTTGTCTCTCTGCCTCTGCGAGCAGCGCCT